CCTCATGCTGCTGCCCAGGTCGCAGAGGTGTTCATCATTGGTCCCTGTACGGCCTCTCATTGCTGCTGGCTCCATCGCACACTCTGCCATGTGCCCACTTTCAGAGTCTCCTCACACTGCGGGTGGGTTCCATTTTGTCATAGGTGCTGGCTAGAATTTAAGGCCTCCATTGCTGCTCCAGGCTCGTAATCTGCCATGGCCCCTGTACCGCTCTCATGCTGAGCTGCCAGGTCCTAGAGGGTGTCTCATGGGTCCCGTACGCCTCCCCTTTTTTGTGGGAACACCCCCCCCCCCGGCCTCCCATTGGCTGACTGTCCTCCATCGCCAACAGCTCTGCCATGTGGCACGTTCAGGTCTCCTCACACTGCTGTGGTTCCCATTTTTTGTGTCAGTAGGTGAGCTGTATGTGGCCCTCCCATTGCTGCTGCCTCCACCGCCACACTGTGGCTTCCAAACTCTGGTTTTGGCCCCGTGACTGCCCAAATGAGTGTAAGTGTGCGTGATTCTAAATCGTACGGCACTCATCTGCATGTCATACTGACTGACAGTGTTATTTCTCTTCCCCAGCAGACTCCAAGGTCATTTAAATTAAAGGTACAGTGATCTGCACTAATATAAAAGGCTCTCTGAAGCCTAGAAACCCATTTTTATAAGTTAAATTCGCAGCGAAATATTCGCATCAAATCAAATTTATTCCATCAGTAATTCGCCGAATAAGAATTAAGCCGAATCGAATTTTTGAATACTTCGCTCATCTCTAATTGCTGTACTAAGGATTCATTTTTAATCGCTCTGTGGTACTGCTTGCCTCATCGGTTTGTTTCGTACACTCAGGGGTTCTGCTGCTGGTCTTGGTTTAGATTCAGCTTGATTCTGGATTGGTTTATTTTTGTACACTCAGGATTCTGCTGGTCTTGGTTTAGATTCAGCTGACTCTAGATTAGGGAACTGTTTTGTTGCATTGCTGCTTGAAAGTTCTTGGACATACTCCCTTGTGCGTTCTACTGAGGAGAGGGGTTTCTCAGGCACATATGGGCCTTCGTGGATAGACCCACTTCCATACCGTTCCATTTCAGGCATAAGCTGCGGCCTCTGCTGCGGCGGCGGCGGCTGCACACTGACGCTGAAGAATATGCAACTTTGCTTCTTGTTCTGATTTTTCTTTTTCTTTCTCAGCCCTTTCCTTTATAATGGCAGCCTCTGCTGCTGCTGCAGCGCCGGCTTCTTTCTCAGCAATTTCCTTCATAACGGTGGCCTCTTTCTCAGCGAATTCTAGCTGAACACGAGCTGCCTCTGCTTTGCGCGAGCTCTGGCTAAAAGGGCACTTGCTGATGAAATCTGACTGGACCTTGCTGATCTAGATGAGTGTGAGCGTGCATCATCTTGCTGGACACTTGGCATGCTCTCCCTGACTTGATGTGTCCCGGGTGGCTGATCTTCAGCCTTATACTGTCTTCCTGATCTTAGACTCATTCTGTCTGTGCAGTGACTCCTATCTCCAGGCTTGTTGCGCTTCACCTTTTCACTGTTCCGTTCTCAAAACACTGACTATGTGTGGCTCTAAACGGACAGCTAAACCCTTGTCAGAATCTCCAGCAAACAGAAGCCCACTGCTTGTATTGTCTACCAAAGAATCCAACTTATTTTATAGGTGAAACTGAAACACAATACAATAACAGCATATCAGTATACATAGAATAACTAGTGTAACATAAATGACAGATGACACAGAAGAAAGGCACTTACAGGTGATGATGTCTCAGGCCCCTTTGGAGAGAAGCAAGCACACTGCATCCCCAGTGAATAGAAGTCTAAAATGGCTGACGAGCTTCCTAAACCAAGAGTCATTTCCTGTCTGAGAGCTTACATATGCAGAGGAGACCTGCCATTCATGTTTGCCACTAGATGGCAGTGGTACACTACATGTCCCATATAAGTAACTTCAATTCAATTAGCCTGTGAAGGCAACACATCGGTGCCTCAACTTTACGCCAAAACCTAGGAATCAGACTTTTTGCTGCATTTAAGTAGCACATTATACCCAGTTCTTTATATTTAATTCCAGGTAATATTGAGTTATGAAAAAGACAGGTTTCAGGGTCCAGTCCTATCTCTATTCTAGTGATAATTGTGATTTGATTTCTAATTTTTTTCCCAATATACTTGTATTTTTGAACATTCCCACCATATGTGATACATCGTGCCCAACCCTCCACACCCTCGCCAACACCAAGGTTGCTTCTCCTCACTCAACTTGTGCTCTATCACCGGTGTAAGATACCACCTTGTCAAACATTTAAAATTCATTTCCACCTCACGCATGCTAATATTTTCGTGTACCATTCTATATATTTTCCTCTGTGTGTGCTCTTTCCCACTCCACTCCTAAATCCTTTTCCCATTTTGCTATATATTTTAATTTAAACTTACTATCTAAATCCGTGAGAGCTTTATATGCTTTAGCAGTGCTGTGTTTCCCATCACCTCGGTCTTCTAAGTATTTCTCAAATTCATTCCACTCTTTCCTAGTTCTAAGGGGCTTCGTCAATTTCAGCAAAATGGACTAGCCTGCTGCATAATTTTTTCACTTTGATTTCAGTCCTCTGTAGGTTGATCGTTTTCATTTACATAAAACAATGGGGCATCCTTACATTCATAACATATTACCCAGTCCATATTGTATAGATATCCAGCATGATATTTTTCCCCATTGACATCTAATGTTTTCAAAGTGTTGATTTAATTTTTTTGAGCAGTGTATTTGCAAATATAATTCTCTTTATTATTTGTTTTTTCTATTCTGGACACCTCTAGACGCATGCAGCTAAATTTAACAATCTACTAGTGTACAGGTGCAGTGGTAGTTGAGAGCAGTTAGAAGAGTCACTATAATTCAAAAAAACATGAATCTGCATCTTTCTCTTGTTGTTGGTCTATATTGTTAAAAGTAGGTGTGACTAAAATTGCAATAGATAGATAGATAGATAGATAGATAGATATGGAGATATACATATACTGTATATATATATATATATATATATATATATATATACACACACACGCACATACATACATACACACACAGTGATCAGCATAAATGAATACACTCCTTATGAAAAGTAAGACTTTAATCAATATCTCAAGGAACACAAGAACAATTTCCAAAATTTTGACAAAACTGAGTCTTATAGAACATTTGTATAGCTCATTATATGAAAGTAAAGTTAATAATATAACTTAGATTACAAAATCTTCAGTTTTACCCAAATTAGTTGATGCGAAAATGAATACACCACTCAACAAAAACTACTACATCTAGTATTTTGCATGACCTCCATGATTTCTAAGGACAGCATCAAGTCTTCTAGGCATGGAATGCAACATCTATCTTTTTCCAATCTCAAGAATGACTTCTTTAGAGCTTGTATGCTCGATGGAGAGTGATGCTCAACTTATCTCCTCAGAATTCTCCATGGGTGTTCAACTGGGTTCAGATCAGGAGACATACTTGGTCACTAAATCACTTTCACCATGTTCTTCTTCCGAATGCAACAGTGGTCTTAGATGTGTTTTGGATCATTGTCATGTTGGAAAAGTGCACGACGACCAAGAGCATGGCGTGATGGTGCCATCTTCTCTTTCACTATAGTGCAGTACATCTGTGAATTCATGATACCATCTATGAAATGCATCCTCCCGACACCAGGAGCACTCATGCAGCCCCACAGAAGGACACTGCCACCACCATGTTTCACTCTAGGCACTATGTATTTTTCTTTGTACTCCTCTCCTTTGCAACGCCATACAGTTTTGAGGCCATCAGTTACAAAAACATTTATCTTGGTCTCATCACTCCAGAGTACAGAGTCCCAGTAGTCTTCTATTTTTCAGCATGGGCCTTGAAAAATTCTAGGTGGGCTTTTTTGTGCATGGGATTTAGGAGAGGCTTCCTTCAAAATGACACCCATGCATGCCATTCCTCTGCAGTGTATGCCGTATTGTGTCATGGGAAACAATCACCCCAGTTTGGCTTTCTATTTCTTTAGCTAACTGCAGTGAACTTGCATAGCGATTTTCTTCAATCCTTCTCATCAGAAGACACTCCTGTCGAGGTGTTAACTTCTGTGGACGGGCTGTACATCTCTGTGAGATGGTTGCAGTTCCATCTTTGTTAAATTTTTGTATTAATTTTGCTACAGTATTCTGACTGATAAGTAAATCTTTGCTGATCTTCTTGTAGCTTTCATCTTTCCTGCATAAAGAGATTATTTTCTTTCTCAGGCCTTGTGACATTTCTCTTCCATGTGGTGTCATTGCTGACAGCACGAAATGGAAAGGGGTTTTCTTTGTTAAGTAACACCCTTTTATAATCAACTGTCTGCTGGACATCTGTTTAATGAATAATTATACTTACCTGTAGTTGAATTCTTGTTAATCAGGATTCTGTTGTCTAAAATCTACCTTTGCTCCTAAGACCTTCACTGGGGTGAATTAATTTTTGCAACATGGTCTTGAATAAATTTGTTAGAAAATTTTTTTTTGTGTGTGCAAATTAACAAACCTTGTTTGCAATCAATGGCCCGCATTTGTGGGAGGATTTTGTAATACAGTGTCCCATAGAAAATGTTGATTCTGAAAGGAAAGGAAAGGTTTTCTGACAAATCTGTTGCGGTGTACTCATTTATGCTGAGCACTTTATATAAACAGTATTATATATATATATTTATTATTTTATTTATTTTTTTATAAATAAATGCATAATAAGCAATGGAGCTTGTACAAAATACATCATCATTTAGTTGTTTCTATGGAAACATGATGTCTAAATACAACCCTGCATATAAGTTACCAAGAGTGATGTATTGTAGCTCTAAATAAACTTAGAGTTAATTGAATCAATATTTATATAATGCTAACTAACTTGTTATAAAGAGTTTTCCATTTCAAGTAACCTGATCTTCTCTCTTATACAATGTGGTTGCTCCAAAACTAAATCAATGAATTGAGAAACTTTGTACTATATTTGTGTGAGAAACAATCTACTGGCATTTTGCAAAGAAGCCATCTGCTTGGCAGATCAACCCCGTGTTTCTTTGTCACTTGTACGTGCTCAGGAACAGTTGCATAATTGAAATGTTCTTTTCTTAATTACTGAAATAATGACTTTGTTAATTGTCACCCCCTTGAAAAGCTAACATTTTCTGGTGGCCAGGGATTGACATGTGCTCATAATTCACTTGCCAAACTGAATGAGAAAATACAGTGGCAGCTAATCACAGAATCCTTGCTAGCTAATACGTAAACAGGAAAATATAATTTAGCAGATCAACTTATCCTTATAAATTGCATAAAATGTAATATTTTATAATTGCAATGTACATTTTGAAATAGTTTTATAGCCATACAAGGAATAAACAGCAATGCTAAATAAAATCAGCATTGACTTGTGAGATTTCGTAGTTTTTTTTGTTGTTTTTTTTTTTTTTTTTTTTTTTTTGGAGCTGCAATAGTGCTTACATACAGATGGTTATCATTTACTATTTTACAACTGCTCTTTTCATCTGAATATAAAGCTATCCTTAGATCTTACACTAAAGGGTGCCTGGTTGTTCTGTCATGATCTGGCTGTCTTTGGGGCAAGACAGCATCAGAAGGCTGTAGAACATTTCTAGTGTTTCTGTACTTTGCCCAAGCAGGGCATAGCATTAAGTTCATTTTAATGAAGACCTTCACAGGCACACATGCTTTTTTTTGTAGTTACATTTTTTATTGTGTACTTCAGCAAGACAAGAGATCTTACAAAAAGAATGCAATGTTACAAATCACAGAGTTGTTGCAGTCACTGGAATATTGGAAATCATACCAATAATACCATGTTTTGCGTTTTCTCCTCTGTACTTCTCATAGCTGCCGTTAAACCTTCCATTTCAGCAATTTTGTTCACCACAGCGATCCACTGGCCCACCATCGTGGGATTTGAGCATTTTAATTTTTCTGGCCTGTTCACCAAGTATATATTAGTCAACTTGAAGACCAGATCACTAATCAAGTCCCAAAGAAGCGGATACATGGACATTATTGTCTGGACTGATCCACCAGGAAAAAAAAACACAGGGCAGGCAGAACAGTCCAGTGACGAATCAGAATGGTATTTAAAAAAACAAAACAAAAACAGAAAAACAAAAACACGAAAGGCAGAAAGTTCTACAAAAAGGAGTCAAATATCACCAATTACAGTTCAGGGTCTGATGGTCTTGGACGAGAGGCCAAGTAGAACTAGCAGAACTTCTAGAGTGGGGACATCTGTGTCGTTGAGGCAGAGGCGCTGCGGAGAGGATTGATCCATTTCCATTCAGTAGGACATCTAACCAGTTCAGAACCACTACGGATTCAATCCCCAATAAGACAAAGAGAACTGGGAGTTGGTCGGGTGAGTGCATAGTAAATTAACATTTCTCCTTGGTTATGAGGATGTGAAACAGAAATCCCCATTTGTAATTATACTGTAACTGGTGGGCATGAGCAACATTATAGTCATAAGATTGATGCTAAATTCAGCCAAAAATGGAAAGGCCAGACCCACTATTTCACAACTAGGGTAACCTGAGCTCAGAGGAGAACATTTCCACACTGCTACATTGTATTCTTTTCACTTCCTGGCCAGTGCAGAGTTCCTCTAATTCTTCATTTGTACATTTCTAAAATATTGCCAGCAAACACCAGGTGATAACAAATGTGTGTGTTTTTTTTTTTTGTGAATTGACTTAATTATTATTTGTTTTGCGGTATTTATCTCTCTCTTTTACTTTGATAACTTGATTTTATTATCACATGTGATATTTCTTAAAAATGGGTCACGTGGCCTTCATATCACATGCAGTAACCTTTAGTGAATTGATCCCATAGGTCAATTCAGTAAGAGATAAATACCACATGAATTTTTCAGTTAAAAAAACTCATGGTATTTATCTCAAGAGTAGTCATTTAGCTAAACATGATTATTTACCAAATGCATTACATTTTTATGTTTCGCAATATTTAGCACTTACATTTTGCACTATTTGTGACATTGTTTTTTTTAAAATTATTTATCCGATGTTTTTATGCGGTATTGATCTCACTATTTTAACAACTGTGTGGTATTTACCTCACATTTGATATTTTATTTTGATGAATTGACTCTTTTATTATCTCATGCAATATTTCCAAAGAATGAGTCACGTGACCTTCATATCGCATTAAGTAACTTTTACTGAATTGGCCCCTGTCTCCTATTGGATTGCTTAAATTATGTTGCCTAACCACTCTGCATTTACTTCTACACACTGTCACCACTGCTCTGCCTGGCTACTAACATCTTGCCTGCAATGCATTTAATTACAAGGCTATTAACACTTTAGGCTATTATGGTTTTGCTGCTTTTGTGCTCAGCCTTATTTAATCTACTGCTTCTCAGAAGTTATTGAATACAACCTCTGTTCAAAAGTTAACGTGTATTGGACCCTATTGAGACATTCAAGTTTAGTCATTTCGGCCCTGAAGTGCCAGCTCAATTATAATATGGAACAACTGGTATGTCTGCTTCTTGGACCCTATACTATAATCTTATAATCTTATCTGGCAGGAGACATTAGATATTTTCAGGCCAATATTGTGTTTAATTATATTCTATATGGTTATTTTATGGAGGCTATTTATATCTGCCCTATATAACATGTACATGACATGTCATTTGAGTGCATTATGGTTGAGGCATTATTTCATCTTTTGGGGCCAGAGCACAGTGAGCATCCAAACAATTTAACTTTTAGGCGATTGATAATCATGCTCATGTGCTGTGCTCACAAAATGGTCAGGTTTGTCATGGTTTAGGGGAGTTATACGACAAGGTTGTCTGTTTTTTATAGATGGAAGAGAGAGGGTAAACATTTTTTTTTTTTTTTTTTGCTTAAAGTGAGACTTTTGTAATATGTAACGTTATTTAATTATTTATTTAAGCTGTAATTATTGTTTGATATATGCCATGTGTGTCCCCTGTATTTGGCCCTATTTTGCTGGAGATCCTGCTCTGTTTTACTTTTGTTGCAAAAACTACTTCTATCTAGATATACCATTTTGTTTTTTTTGTTTTTTTGTATTTTGCTTAAAGTGAAACACTTTTGTAATATTTATGCTAATAAAGTTATGTATCACTTATTTAAGCTGTAATTATTGTTTGATATATGCCATGTGTGTCCCCTGTATTCAGCCCTATTTTGCTGGAGCTTCTGCTCTGGTTTTGTTTATTTTTGTTGCAAAAATAAAAAATGATGAGCTAATAAATACAATAACCTGCCAGGTACATATGAGGAGAGTAATAACACTCTAAAATTGTGAAAAAAAGCATTAAATTATATTTCTTGGATTTATTAGGTGTGTGGGCATTTGTTATAGTAACCTGTTGACCAGCTATAGTACCTTTTTAGAAACAAAAAATGACTTTTCACATTGTTATAACTGTGTTGTACATCAAAGGAGTTATGAAGAAAGATGGCTACCCCTCTGCATTTGGAGGAATAAATTGTATAAAAAGCTTGACTGTAAGATTAGTGAAAAAACTAAGGATGATTATTCAGGGCAAAATGAGTGTCTTGGAGAAGAATGATTTTCACTCCAAACTTTTTGTATTTTAAAAATGCTTCTGGCATTTATGTAGGGAAATAAACCCATACACATTATGTGAAATGTATGCAATCGCCATTGTAACTACTAAACAGACTAAATACCTGTGACAGTACAGTTCCCTGTCGCGGTGTATGTCGCCCAGGAATCTGAACTAGGCAGGTTGAGGGGCTCTAGGATACTTGTTTAATTTGGAGGAAACTTTTTTTTTAGTTTCCTTGGTGGTTGGCAAAACTCAGTTTGAGAACTGCAGTCCAAATATTTTGCAGTGACCTGGGTGGTAAGAAATCTTAAGTCCTGGGACCAGGTTTTAGGAACAGTCCACACACTGATTGTACAGGTGTGAGCAGGACCAGGACCAGGGTTCTGGGCTCCACCTTCCCAATGAGTACACTGAGCTGAACAACCCCTGTACATTACCATATAAAGGTAG